GACGCAGCAGAGATCTGTAGCTGCAAAGGAAATCCTGAAGTACGATGCATCATCCGGAAAGGGTGCATATCGCGCTGTGAACTGAAGAAACAGATGTTTGTTTGTCGGGTCTAACAGGGGACTAGCATCTCACCTGTCAACGATGGCAGTTGAAATAACAGCTGGACGTAGTAACGGTGCGAATCGGTAGCAGTAACAGCATTTGTTCCTTAGTTCTGTCCTAACGTGTTGTTAACTACATACTGAACCTTCGTAAGTACATAACCACATACTGAAGCTAAAAATCGTTTTCGTTAATGCTAACCCTTACCCTTCAGCTTGGAGCTTGCACCCTTGAAAGTTTCTCACCCTGTGGATTTAGGGGATCTCTACTAGAATCACTAATGGTCATTTAAATTATTAACATTTACAACATACTAACTAGTAGCTACGTTTGGACTCTACATGATAAATGGTACTTTTCTTACTTTAGCCTACTGGATTTCCACAGAGGCGATTCGAGCGGTGTTTGCAGCAGAAGATGGCTTTACCCTTTTGCCGTACGATGTTTCGTGCGTCAAAGAGAAGATGCTGCGGTTCTTTCATCTGAGCGACAAAAGCCAAATCTTAGAGCTGCTGTATAAAAATTTCGAGAAGGCGAAGATCGCGGGGTTCTGTAAAGTTCTGGCTCAAGGTGTGAAAGATTATTTCATTTTTGATGCTGGAACAATCGACCAAAACTGCTTTAAAACTGAGATTCGTAAATGACACAAAAGCAGGGTTGTTTTTAGGTTCGACTTCAAATGTTGGCTTCTGTTCGGATGACAGACGATGGGATGTAAATTCTTAGAGTATGGTGTTCTTTTGGGAATAAATAAAAAATCAATATATAAGAAAAACTATCAGTCGAAATGATAACAATGGACAACGCTGCGGGAGGTCTCAGAATATGGCGTTGTACAAATCGATTCAGTCAGTGAGTGGCAACTGAACGCAATGAGTGAACGAAAGTGAGTGTGAGTGAATGTACACCTGACTGGATGAATAAATGAATGAACGTATGATTAACTTGCTAACTGATAACGAATGAATCCCTGGATTGCTTAATTACTTATTTTACCTGCCTACTAAACTTCATTTATTTACTTATTTATCAGTTACTCACTCGCTCGCATAACTACTTATTAGCATGTTTGTTTGCTCGCTCAGTTAGTTGTTTACATACTTCTTTAGTTGCTTCCATTTTTATCTACTTACATACTTTATTATTTATGTATTTACTTACCTATTCTCTTGTTTTCTCTCATTTCCACGTACATACTCCTTAAGTGCTTAATCTTTTACTTATTTGTTTGCTTAGTTGCTTATCTGCCGACATACTCGCTTAATTATTTACTCTATTGGTTACTTGCGTACTTATTTTCTTAAGTACTGACGAGTGCATTCACTTGCTGCCTTACATTCTGATTGACTAACTGGTTTAATTTTCTGTTTACTTACTTGTTTATTGATCACGTGACTGGTTGGGCGGTTCTAATCGTGCCGCGAGATGGAATGTCGCTGAAGCAGCGCACTGTCAGATCGTGGTTTCCACACCAGCAGCACGCCTACCCTCTTTATGTAGTATTTTTTGCAGTGAAATTCTAGGTAGTACGCGTTTCTTGTGGTGAGGTTTACGGTACGATTCAAGCACTGATTTTGGACTGAAGTTTACAAATATTAGTTGATTGAAATTAATTTTTCTTTTTAAATATTCACATAGTTTAGTGCAGATTCAGAGAGTACGCAATCGTATTGAATTCAGGACAAGATCCACAGTGGTATTGCTTATCAAGGTTATGAACCAGCCGTGGGTAAGGTCGAACATGGTGTGGTTTCCCTGACGTTTATTTTTGGATGATCAGCTCTGTTTCAAGGTTTCTGTCTGGTGCAAGGGCTGTTGAAGGATTTTCATATTACGGCAAAGTTGCAAGAGTATGACGATGAGTTCGTAACAGGAAATGCGGGGAACGGGGCAAAAAAGCAAGTTTAACTGGCATGAAGAAACGTGCAAGATCACTGCGGCATAACTTGTTCTGCTGCATGACTAAATTGTGAAGTCAATGTATGCAATGTAAACTCAAGTTTCTCGTTTCAAATTCATCACCATACTCTTGTCATAATACCAAAGACGTTCAAAATGCATCAACGTAAGTCACGACCCCGGCACCAAAGCAAAGCTAATGATTCAAAAATAAACTTACAGGAAACACCATCAGCCAATTTGACCCTACCCCTATCATCGTGAGGCGCAAAACCGTTGCGGATCCTTCTCCGGATTCAGTAGTGCATGCACCTTCCGCGACTTCGAACTATACTATTTCAATAATCACGTGAAAAAAATATTCAAATCAACTAGCATCACTGGACTATAATCTGAAACTAGTGCCTTTATCCCCTTGAAAACGTATTTTTAAAAGCATTCACTACATAGAGAGTCAGTGTATGATGCCGGCGTCTAAAATGCAAGTCAAATAGTGCGCTGCCTTATCGACATCGAGACATCACGGACACGATGAGCTTCGTCAATAAGTGACTCAGTCAATCAGTCAACAAGTTAGTAAACAAGTAAGTGGTTAAATAAAAAATTAAACGGATAAGAAAGTAAATATAAGCCGATCAGTTGTTTTTTTTTGAGAATGATGTTATTTTCGTTTGCCGTTAATGCAACTCCATATTTCAGATGCAGCTAAAGACCTCTTCATACAACATCTGTTTCATAAGGCCGGTCGGATGCTTGGTAAACATGTGCTCGCTATAACTGCCCATGCCGATAAGGCGCTTTTACGGCGAGCTGGCGGAGTCCCTGTGGTAATAATTGGCTCAGTTTGGAAAAGTTTCGACTATCTAAAACAGGGTAAGTAGTGAAAATCAAAATTGAATTGATGTCTT